CTAATAGCGGCTGCTCAAGCGCCATTTGTAAGCTCAAAGTCTACCTCGGTCTGCTTCACGTCAGTCCGGTTCTATCTATCTATTCATAATGTAACCAGTCACTGAAAAGCCCTGATATAGGGAGTGTGCTGTGAAATATCTGTATCTGTACACGTCGTAATCAGCTCCTTGTCTATAATTCAATTATCACTATTAGTATTTTTGCATGGTCAAATTTGACCTATTAATTAACAATTATTCGCCGAAGGCGAGGTGATTATCTGGGAATATTCGCCGAGACGAAGTCGAGGTGAATATTTCCTGATAATCACCGAGCCTGAGGCGAATAATTGTTTTAGTATTTTTTACACAAGTCTTTTGTGTTATTTGGTACTGAATTTATTTTAATTTCGATTATTTCTTTATCAGTAAACTTCCACAAAACGGCTAGCCGCCATTTTGAAAATTTCAGTTTTGTTATATTCACCTGTAGGTGAATAGGCTATAAGAGCTTAATACGTCGAATTTGACCAATCAGGTTGTAGGATTTATTATGTTCACTTGTGGAAAAGGACTAAGCTGTTATATTCACCTTAATACAGTTGAATAGAACAAAACCAAAATTTACAAAATGGCGGCTAGCCGTTTTGTGGTAGTTACTGATAAAGAAATAAGCGAAATTAAAATTAATTCAGTCCCAAAAAACACAAAAAACTAAAACAATTATTCGCCTCTGGCTCAGGCTCGGTGATTATCGGGGAATATTCACTTCGACTTCGTCTCGGCGAATATTCCCCGATAATCACCTCGTCTTCGGCGAATAATTGTTAATTAATGCATAATACACTGTAAATACTGACGAACAGTTAACTTAAATCATTTGAGTGACGTTTTATTTTTATTTTAGACATTAACGAGTGTGCACTGAATACAGATAATTGCGACACGAATGCTGCTTGCACGAACACTATTGGCTCGTTTAGTTGTGCATGTAATGTGGGCTTTGCTGGAAATGGAGTTACTTGTATAGGTAAGATATAGAGGCTGATTTATTCTTATTTTGTTTTTATTAAACCCGTAAAATATAGTTGTAAATTTTCTGAAGAGGCATGCTGATCGAACATTTCATGATCATAAACGATATAATAGGCTAGGTATATTAATCTTAATTAGTAAAACTACAATGTGTGGATAGTTAATCAATATCTACTTAAACTGACACCAAATCAAATAACTACTCAAATTATAGTAAAGTAATAACGATCAGTGAAATTTGAATCAATACTATACCTTGTGCGAGCCTTACAACTGAGAGGAACAAGTTCAGTTCGTAAGCTTACGTATGAGTGAGTATAATGAAACAGAAACTCCAAATGCGCCCACTAGTGAAATATTGCGGGTATAGAAAGCAGTCTTGCCAATTGTCGACGGCAACGTGACGCACCATCACATTATCACAAGCTCGAGACGATAATACAGGGTGTATAAAAAAAGTGAACAGATTTGAAATTGCTCTCAATTTCGCAAAACAGCTAGTGGTATCAAGGTTTTGTTATATATAAATCCCTTGAGTACCCATAATGTAGAATAATGAAGAAAAAAATACTCGAACTCAAATTTTGTATACCAGGGAGGTGTTTTTTTTCCAACAAACTAAAAATGGCTTGCGCACGAAATGTAAACGATTTAATCGTATTTGAGTTAATGGATGGAAAATGTGTTGGGTTTTTAATTACTGTACAAAATCTCAGATAATTTGCTTTAGTTTAAGCCCTTTAACTATTCATTTTGTCCCAAAAAATCAGCCCTTTGCATGCTTTAATAATTAATACGTACCTTTACCTAATTTGCATGCAGTTGCTGCAATATGCTGTTTACGTTTTGCGAAATTGAGAGCAATTTCAAATCTGTTCAGTTTTCCAACAATGTTTAATTCTTAAACATGTAAGCGTAAAATAAACCGTTAAGTGTGGTTCGGAGCATGGGTTTGCGTGTCTTCATAAACGTATTGGCGTAACATTATCTAAATAACCTAAGGCTGATTATACTAACGTTTACAAATCTTTGTCAGTTCGAGACTGTTCTGTGATCAGTTACAGATGGCAGTGTGACTTATCAGAAATAAAATCTTAATATATAGGTTCCGATCTGACGCGTCTAATTTCAGTGAAGATAAGAATCTCTCCACAAACATCTGATTTTTGAGACCCTAGCCTTCAATGATGCCTAATGGCAACATTACTTTCAGGATTTTATAGTAATAATTTGGAGTTCATAATGAATTTGTCTTGTGTTTTTCAGATATTAACGAATGTACACTCGGTACTCACGACTGTCATGCTAATCCAAGTGAAGCAACATGTACAAACACACTTGGATCATTCACGTGCGCGTGTAATACTGGTTACACTGGGGACGGTAAAACGTGTACAGGTTTGTACGAGAGTTGTTGCCTCTAAGGTCGCTGCATCTTCCAAATTAGTTAACATTATAGTGAGGTGGGTAGTGGGTACTGTAAAGATTGTGCACATAGTGATACAAGCATTAAAATATTATACATAGTTTCATTTTGCAAGCAAATTGAATGATTTCCAGGATACAGATGCCCGTCGACTGTTTCAGTCACTGCACAGATTATAAAGTATATACCAGATGCATAACTTAATAGAGCTTCGTTTCCTCAAATTCCCCTCGATGTACACGTCATGCTCACGCCATGACATTTGCTAAGAAAATAGCGAGCTTAAGCAAGCAACGTTTTTGACAACACGAACGACATGAGTAACGTTAAAAGACTGGGTCAAGAATGTTGATTGTTGATAACGTCAAATTTGCTTCCGGTCAACGTTCGTGTTGTCAAAAACATCGCTTGCTTAAGCTCGCTAATGGTGCCCAGAAAAACACGAACTTTTGCATTTTATTGCGGCCTCTTTGGATCGAAATTTATGCATTAAACATTCAAGAGCATCATTTGTGGAATTTTAAAGTTGTTAAAAGCAATAGGCCCTTTCAAGGTTTATTCCACCATATTGCCGGGGGTGCAAAAACATTGGGGCGAGCACGCGGCCAGCCATGGCTGCCATATATTTTACTAATGACTGAGCGATAATTTTGTGTGGACATTTTGTTGATTTTCTCATGCTATATTACATGCGATTGTCCTTTTTTTTGTATTCTTGCTGATCTGTATGTATTTTGAAACATTTGGTAAAGATTTCAATGGAATGTGATAGGGGGAAGTCGGTGAATATGCTGATTTCTTCGACAACTTTCGGCGGGCTGTTTACATTGGATTTACAATTCAATTCAATTCAATTCAATTCAATTCAAAAACATTTATTTAAACACGATTTAAAAAAATGAGCAGCAAATTGCTGATGTGATCGTGTGTTTGCCAGTATAATAAAATGTATTTACATATGCTATGTTAATGTATATAGTGTATATATAAATTAAATATCGTAAGAATAATAATAGTAAGAATACGATTAGAAAAGTTTAAAAATAGATATAGTTAAGATCATTATTGTTTGTATAGGAGCTAATATCCATTGCCTCAAGATCTAGTTGCCGTATCAACATTTTAAAATTATTATGTCGTTCCTCGTTCTTAAGATTGGTCGGTAGTTTCTTCCACAATACTGCTCCCCCAAATGTTACTGACTTATGCAGGAAGTTGCTTTCTGGTCTTGGAATAACCAACTTTCTGATCCTCTTAAATTGTTATCTTTCTTTGTAATTATATTCTTACAGAGTTGGTCTGGTGCCTGACCGTAACAACATTTGTGGACAGTGCTTAATACTCTTTGCTTCTACGTACTGCTCAGTGTTTTCCAGCCAGTTTTATGCGTCCATTTTTGGCTTGGTAAATCCCAATTCAACCTGTAGATTATTCGTGCGGTTCTTGTGTGCAACCTTTCCAAGGCTTTGAAATGTGTTTTACCACAGTTTCCCCAAACGAGAATGCAGTATGTTACGGATGGAAAGATTACTTTCCAGTAAAAATCTTCCAACATATGTTTGGGAGGAAACCCATCGATTTTAACAAATTTAATTTCCTGACGAATGCAAGTTTGACATTTTCTGTGTGCCCTTTCCATTTCGGCTTATTGTCCAATGTCACTCCTAGAGATTTTGACTTCTTTACCCACTTCCACGTTCCGCGTTTAATGTGCATGGCTTCTGATTTGGCTGGATGAACCGTCATTCCGTTTTTGTAACACCATTCACTCACAAGGCCTAATGTCTCATTTAGTTTGAGGATCACTTGGTCAACTGTTTCGCCTATACTAGTCAAGGTCGTATCATCAGCGTACATTTCTAATTCTTCATCATCATGCCGCGCACAGTCCGGAAGATCATGGCAAAAGAGTGCGAATAATAGCGGCCACAGCACTGATCCTTGTGGCACCCCGTAGTCAACACCCTCTCTTTCAGAATCACACAGTCCTATTTTAGTGAATTGGCGTCGGTTAAAGAGGTAGTTTCGGATCCACAACAACAAATTTCCAGAGATGCCTGCCCGCTGTAACTATAACAGTAGTTGGTGATGAGGGACAGAGTCAAAAGCCTTCTTAAAGTCGATGAAGACAACTCCCATCACTCTATTGCTGTCGACTGCTTTCCTCCATTTCTCTGTCCTATGTAACAGCAGTGCTTCCGTTGAACTGTTTTTCCAGAATGCCCACTGACTGAGTGTGTTCTGTTTGAATACACACGTTTTAAGACAGAGAATATTAAAAACATATATTTGGCGCGAACGCATTGTATGACGTAATTACAAGACTTAAATAACATACGTCAGAACAACAAAACAAATATGTAACATCTCCCGTTGGAGATTAAACAAATATAAAGTTGATAAAGTTTGCGTGAATGAACGTTTATTTGTCTAGCTATATCTAGTCGGTTTTCGAACGACTCGACCAGATCTTGTGACGATTTCGTTTGGTGGTTCTGGAGAACTGGGTTGAGTTGTCACCTCTAGATCATCATAATCAAAGTCATTCCGGATCTGGAATTTGTCCTTACACGGGATAAGGTGGCGGCGGTTGCGTCTCACAATGTTTCCTTTGTCATTGAGGGCACGATAGGACCGTGGCTCGGCACACTTCTCCACGACTTTACCAAGTTGATTCCATTTCTCATCTTCCTTCGCACGGATTCGAACAACAGTTCCTGGTTGAATTTCAGGTAGATCTTTAGCGTGTTGATCATATTTTTCTTTTGTCTTCGCTCGGGTGTCTTTGGGAGGAGGAGGAGGAGGAAATGCAGGTTGGATTAGGGAAGGCAATGTGGAACGTGGTTGACGACCGAAGAGGCGCGCAGCTGGTGACTTGTTGTCGTTTCCAGGAGTGGTATTGAGGACTAACAAGGCAAGGTAAGGGTCCTTGTTGCCATCATGTGCTTTTTTCAAACTCTTCTTAACAGTTTGGATTGCTCTTTCCACGAAACCATTGGACTGCGAAAAGTGAGGACTTGAAGTAGTGTGTTTAAAGTCCCATTCTTTGACAAACTGTTTGAAACATGCCGCTGTGTATTCTGGACCATTGTCGGAACAGAGCTCTTTAGGAATGCCATGTCGAGTAAAAATCTTCTTAATTTTATTAACCACAGTGGCGCTCGATTTGTCGGTGAGTCGTTCAATTTCAATGTACTTTGAGAAATAGTCCGTAACGATAACGTAGTCATGTCCATAAAGGGAAAACAGGTCTGAGGCAACTTTTTTCCATGGTGCATTCGGAACCGTAGGTTGAATCAGAGTTTCCTTCTGTTGCTTGTTTCTGTAGGTTAGGCAAAGTGAACAGTTAGAAACAAGATCTTCAATTTGTGCGTTTATTCCGGGCCAATAGACAGACATTCGCGCACGATTTTTGCAACTTTCAATGCCAGTGTGGCCCTGGTGTATGATTGCTTTCATGGTGCTGCGTAGTGATGATGGGATAATGATGCGTTGACCTTTGAGGAGTAAGCCGTTGTTGTAAACAATTTCATCACGGATGTTGTAGTATGGCTTGACTGTTTGAGGAATGTCACGTTGTTGTGACCATCCTTTAAGAGTGTATTCCTTGAGTTGCTGTAATCTTTTGATTACAATGAAATTCAGTCAGTCTAGATCTACTGAAATTCAGTCAAGTGAGCATCGCTGATGGGAATGTTGTCGAAAGTGACTTGGATACAGTGAATCAAATCAGGTTGATCAATTTCAGTTGATTGGTTGTTGAGGTAGGCCCTGCTGAGTGCATCTGAGACGACCATGGTTTTGCCAGGAGAATATTCAAGGTCGAAGTCATACTTTTGAAGCTTCATGAAGAAGCGCTGTATTCTTGGTGGACATTGAGTGATGGATTTACTGCAGATTGACTTGAGTGGTTGATGATCATTGAATACAGTGAAGTGATGACCGTAGAGGTACTCATGAAAGCGTTCCGTTCCAAATACAATCGAGAGGGCTTCTTTTTCGATTTGTGCATAGTTCCATTCATATGGTAACAATGCTTTAGAT